ACGCCACAAGTTTACGGCCCCTGATCCTGCTGTCTCCCACCTACTTCCCAATATTCTACCAGCCGGTAGATGCTACCCTCCCCGTACTTTCTACTGGTCGCTGGTGGACGCTAGTCGTTTCCAGATCGATCATCCATTCTTTCCTAACGTCAGTGGCGGACGCTGGTAGACGCTGCCTCTCGCTATATCTATACTTTCCTAGTAGCTGACGGACGCTCGGAAAGCTGGTGGACGCTGCCGCAAAGTATGAACGCAGCCTTAGAATTACTCCCCTTGTTATTCAAGAAGTCCGGTCAAGAATGATTCAGTGAATCTTTGGATTACACTAACTTCTTTTTGTCGCACATGTCTGACATGCCTGCAGCAGTTAAATGCATCGTTTCGGAAGCTATTTTAGTTATAACGACTGTTGCAAAGTTGATTCCCTGGAAAAAACTGTTAATGGTCGAGGATAGACGGCGCTGTTAACTGGCAGTGTCAGATCGTAGGCCAAAGCCACCTCAGATCCGATTCTCCATTTCTTGGCTAGCTACTAGAAACGATCTAGGATGATAAGTTCACTGACCTTCACTACAGTTTTCTTCCGCAAGTCACCTTTGTATGGTTGCGCCCCCCCCCCCCATCAAATGACTCTCTTAATTCCAAAACATCCACAGAACCCTTGCAATTAGGGTACATGTGGTCTCTGACATGGGAACAAATAAACTGACATTAGATTGGGGAGAGAATCATCCTCTGGGATTATGGGTGTGATGACCCCACCCCAATACTCCATGAACCCGTCAAGTTTCCGGAAGTCTGCAGCCAATTTAGCTGATAATCGGATTATGGATGGATACAATTTGGATGTAGAGGAGTGCTGGTTCCAAATATTGTCACGCTCACAAAGTTAGCATCATTCAGGGGGCTTTGACCTTTATTAGATTTGGCCCCTTTCAGAGTTCCTAGCAGTTTCATAAAGACATGCGCTTGCATACCGAGAAATATCTACGAATTCTTGCAACCCTTAGAGAAGTCACCTGATAAGAACGGGCCACGGGACTTTGTCGTGATGGCGCGGTGTCGAAAAACATATTCAAAACGAGTTTACTACACAATTGAATTGCCCGGTCGACCATAACAGGCTTTCCTTGCCGCACGGCTTTTCAGCTCGTTTTTATTACAATTTGGGAGTACCTCTTCAGAATGCCATGCGTAAATCCACTTTCCTCTGACGCCATACGACCACTAACATTTCGTACATACATAATTTATTGCATGCACGTCATAGAAAACTCACCTTCACGTGCAATTGCACCAAATTCGGATAACAGTACGAATTGTGCACGTTCACATTAATTGTTGACAATAGAGATATTTGTGATGGTCGAATAAAGAAAATCTGGCAGTCCTGCAACAAACCAAATTAGCATTCGTAGCACGTTCTACTACAGAAAAGAACTCTCTATATAGGGGTTATTAATAGGCCCTGATCACGGCTCTGACCTTTATAACTGGAGCCGAGCCATTTGGCGCCAACATGGCTCTGAATACTCTCCCGCTACGTGCGGGGTGGGATGTTGCAAGAATCACTTGAGAAACTTCAATGCTACCTCACTGTGTACCAATTAAGGTAGTTTTTCACCTTAACTTGGGCTGGTTTCGATGCAGAGTCGACGAAGGTCTCATTTGCTATGCATACTCAACATTAGAAATAGAAAAGAGCCTAGAAAAATGGTTCAAAATCGCTTTTCCTCAGCAAACTTTTCACTCATTTTTTGGCATTCCCAGAACGCATAGCAAAAACGAAACCCATTTTTGTGATCCTTATATGGACCCCTACAACATGCAACAAACCATTTCTAAAAAGCGCGCCACGACCTGAATGACCTCCTTCGTGGGAAGAGAGGAGAGAGACTAGAAAACGGCGAGCGAGAGAGCACAAAGCATCATCGATGACACGGGCGACGTAGGCCGGCATGGCCTATTGGGCGCCCATGGGCCTAAAACCTGCCGCCCTGCGTTTTTCTTGCCCGTTTTCACCTTTTTAGTGTAGCACAGCCTCTGCGGTTGCCTATTTGGTCATGATGAGCTTTCAAGAAATTCTTGTCTTAGTCTGTCGCGTACCGTGCTGCCTTAAACATCAGCATACCGTATCGACTTCGGCTTGACACCTCCTTTAGCATGTCGGAGCAAATCAGTGCAAATGCAGAAAAGCAAGGGTGCGACAGGCCTTTGTTTATCACTTACCATGAGACATGCCTGTTGTATATTGCCCATTAAAATTAACCCTAGTACAGAGCACACGACTCAAAAAAGAGAACATGGCTTTGATTCACTCAGATACAGTCCCCCCTCGCAACACCCGTTTACCCTTCCTACCCCTAGCTCTTGGGCTTCTGTAACTACCGTGCTAGAGCCACAAGGGCCAAAACACATGGCCATAATCGTTGAGGAAACTTGCTGACCTTCCAACACGAATTCAGCGGCCAAGTTGCTTGAAAATCTCACCATCATAATGCAGTATTAAAGGCAATTACAGCTTCTCGTAAAATTTGGCACATGCGCCGGAGTATGGGTGTCGAGCAAAAGCAATTGTGGTCAGCTGCTGAAGTCAACGCGTGAAAAGGTTGATCTTTCCAAGTGTTTTGATGCTGGGACAAGACGTTAAGGGTCAAAAAGATGTGCCTTTATACCCAAGACATCATTCTGGAAGGGTACTTCGTTTTGTGGTCCAAGGGGCTTGGGTGTCGGCGCTTGTAGTCCGACGCGTTTTCTGCGTCAAATTGAAGGTGATACTCTTAGTTAAGAGGTCAGATCACCTTCAGAGACAATTCGCCGGTCAGTCCCTTCCATCAAAGTAAGTTTCCAGGAGAATTCAGTCCGAGTTGCGGAAGGTGGGGCCGAAAAGAGTAAATAATGAGGAAAAAGGCAATCAAGTGATGTGGCACTTCCGATGCAGCTAGAATGAGAAAGCAATAGAAAAGGGTTGAAGAAGGCATAATGAAAATGAAAGGAGCAGTGAGTGAGCAGGAGCTGCCAGGTTTCTTAGAGAGACTGATCAAGAAGGCAGGATGAGAAAATGTAAAATTATCACAAGCTACACGATATTTCGCATAAATTCTTCTGAAAGCAGACACTGCTGGCATGAAGGTACGCAGAGTAGAGCAACAGAACATTTTCGCTTCGTTGAGCCAGATGTGCGCTTCCAACCTTTAAGGAACGAAAGATACCCTGTGGTTTAGATCGTGATGGTGTTGAGTAGAGTTCCATCCCCAAAAAGTCTCTGTAAGAGGCAGTCCTTGATTTGTATCGGAGCCTAAGCCCGTTTAAGTCTGTATTATTTTTATGGGTAAGGAATCATGATTACTGAAGAGCCGGTGGCAAATAAAAGGTGGTGGTCTGCTCAATCACCTCCGTGGATCGTGGCTCTTGCCATCTGTGGGATGAATGGGTCGCAGCTTCAGTAGCGCACCACTTTTTCCGATCAACAGTACACAGAAGCTGGGATGGAGGGTACTGATACAGAGACATTGTCCACAGCCAACCCCCACTGTCGCAGATCAAGCCAGGCACCAAACCATAACCAAACGCGCTACTTTCCCACGCCGTCTCCCTTCTAGTTGTCTTTTACGCTGAGAGTGTGCTTCGGTAAGGGATATTGGTGTCGACTCCTGGAGTAGCACCTTGAGGATGCGCGAAGGAAGCTGGGAGAAGGCACCCGCGTATCACTCCGTTCGCGCGAGTTTCGCGGTGGCAGCTTTACGCTCAAGAAAGTCTTGTAGGTAGCCGACCCATTCCCTGCGCCATGGACCGGACGTGCGCTCGCTCCACATGAACAGGGCCGTTCGGAGGCGAGTAAGTGTGCCGTTTCGTAACTTTACAAGCGTTTGTAGGTATAAACGGTATAGTAATGTCCCGGGCATGGAAATGCCGGTAAGAACTAGACACTACCCCCCCCCACCCTTGAAAACGCTCCCTCTTGACTAAACTACTCCCATATTTTCAGCGTTCTTTTAGTTTCAATGTTCATCCACCCTGTGTTTAGTTGTAGGATCCGGTAGCCCAGTATCTCAAATACCCTCATAGTTCTGATGGGGATTTAGCTTAAATCGGTTCGCATAACGATAAAAAGTAATGAGGAAAGCATGCTTCTCATTTGGTTGATTTAAATGAGCCCATCAGTGGCGCGCAAAATAGGCTTTGCTTCCCGGTTCCTAGAAGAACTTTGGATTTGCAAATTCCTGTTCTTCCTGCAGACCTCGAGGTAATGCTGGGTCTCTTTGACCGATCGTGACTCTTTCACCTATAAGTACACTTACTCATAAATGGGAGGACTTTTTAGTCTTTAGTCACGCTGTGTCGCTACAGGTGAGATTTCTGGGCTTTACTTCACCATCAGAACCCCATTATGTCAAAGATA